CTCTCTCTCTCTCTCTCTCTCTCTCCTGCTTAAAGAAAGTGATTTGAAAATTTTATAGTGATATGGGATTTTTCTTGATTTTTTTTTAAACATGACCTGCATTTATATAAAATGACATATGAGAAAACATCTTTCATTGATTAATATTTCTTACTTTGGGGTTTGGTATAGAACATTGATTTGTGACATTTGGGGAACTGCAGATGTTTACTGTGGGGCCATGCTATTTGGTTTTCTCCATAGAATCAGTCACTTGGTGTAGACTTTCATTTATTTGAGGGAAGGGTTGCTTTGGGTGTCAAATTATGCCATTACATTGCTGCTTTGAGGCTTTCCACTTTCAGTATCAGCTATTTTTTATGCACTTACCCACCACCACAACAAAACACTCCATGACAGAGTGAGAACGAGAAAAACACTGAACTTTATACCCTCTTTCCTGTCTTGTGTCCCCTGCCCCATGGGAAGCTCATCTCTTGGCTCTTGGTTATGTTTCTGCAGCTTCACCTGTCCGGTGAGGTCACATTTCAGTTTTGATGCTTCTTCATATCTCTGTTTGGTATTTACTGACCGCTTAAGGCAAATCAAATAAACAGCTGTAGTATCTGAAACTTGTAGGGCAGGAATAACATGCCAAGTGCTTCCTAAGTGCTTTTCCGACTTAGCTATTTAATTGTCCAAACAATTTCATGAGGAAAGTAAAGTGTTATGTCCTCTTAGAGGCACAGTAACCAGGACCCTGAGCACTGAAGAGATCTGCTGAAGTCCCACAAGAAGAGCTGATGAGTTTCTGAGTACACCCTCTAACAGCTGTGCCAAGCTGCCTCCATATTGGGGGGGGGGTATTTTGTTACACAATTTGATGTTGTGGGGCTTGGTGGTTAAATAGTTTTAATGAGCCAGAAGCTTGTAAGTTGATACTGTAGTTAGCTAATGTTATCACCTAGATGCAAACTCATCAGATTCCCCAGTATACCCAAAAAGGAAGTCCTTAAAAAAACTACTCTGACAGAGCTGTGTAACTCATTTACCTATGTCACCCAGCACTATATGTCTTTATAAAAAGGAGTCTTAACATATAAGTGCTTAACCTTTACTTCTTAATGATGAGCTTTTAAATTGTTATTGTGCTGCCATAATTGGGTGTAACACCTAAAATGTGGTGTGTATAGCTATAAAAAGAAAGTAATGTGATCTAGGACTGACAGTACAGCTGTATCTAAAGGGAAAAATCCTATGGAAGGTTGAAATTGAACGTGGTAACTGCAATTATCTAAAAGGAAGTCTATTACCTTATGATAAAACTGTCAAAATAATGATTTGGTACTCCCACAAATTGTTCAGAGAATCAATAAAACCAATATTACGTCACAGTTTGAGAATTTAGGAATTCCACTTTCTCCTAATTCACAAGAGAATGCTAATACAGTTTAAGAATGAGATAATTTTACGTTTTTGTTCCTGTTTCATCTTGTAACTCTTATTAGAGTGAATATTTTTGCTTGGGAAGCTTGATGAACAGCATATTTGGAAAATATGAAGAGTATTTACTCATTAGTTCTATGCAGGATGTGTGTAAGATGCACTCCTTTGCTTTGCAGGAATGAAAACTAGAGGGTTTTGGGTAGAGTACAGATAGTTTCTTCGGTGGCTACTGCTCCTTCCAGGGCCTGTGCCTTTAGCCTTTGGACCAAGGTTGGTCTTTGCTGTCATTGGATACCAACCAATAATAGTAGTTTGAACTTGGGTCTCTCAAGAGCAATGCGGAATTCCCGCTTGCTCTTCTGATCTGCCTGGCTGCACAAATGAACTTTTATATCTTGGTTCAGTTCAACAGACTCACTTGAGACTCCTGCAAGCTGATTGTTGGACATCAATTAATGTTTTGCTTTTTAACTGAGTCATCTAAAGTTGGTTTCTCATTTTTGTTTTGTAACTTGTGACATGTCATATAACAAATGCAGAACTACTTTTTGATGGAATTAGCATTTGTTGTCATGGCTCTTGACTTGGTCCTGTATCCATAAATATTTGTTGACATGGGAGTAATGGTTCTGTACTTACCTATCACTTCCTGTTGTTCTAAGACTGAGGAGCTGCTAATGATTTTTTTTTTTTTTAATATTAGGTAACACATAAAATAGTGACTAGAAACTGACAGCTAATGGGAGATTTGGATATTATCTCACCCATTCAGTAGTTTTTGCATATAGTGAAGACAGATGTTAATGTTGTTGACTCATAAACAATAAGGCAAAGCTTAGGGTGACTGTTCCTGGCATAGTTAGAAGCTGCAAGAGCTAAAAGACGGATGTGAGTCACTCAAGTCCGCATGTTCCCTCACCTGTGTCACTTACCCGAGTGCAGATATGATCAGCTGAAGCCATGGACAGATGAAGCAACTCAGGTCTCATGGTCTCAAAACTACAATCTTTGCATTGCCGACTGGGATGCAGATTATAAACCCACCCATTTGGTGCCAGCATACCTCGCTCAGCTTGGTGTAATATAACTTGTCCCCTTTTTACTTAAATCTTGATAACTTGTGTGTATTTCCACGTGTGTTGGAATCCCAGTTTGACACTGCCGCATCACCCTCAGGAGCATGTCTGGGAGCCCTAGTTTGCTCCTCTTTAAAAACCAGATAGCATCTGCCTGCCAGTGCTAGACAGCTTGAACACAGCCGTATGAATTTTCTAGCACAGGGCTTGGCACATCACAGACACTGACTTTTGATTGATTGATTGATTGACTGATTGATTGATTGATTTTCTGTAAGGGAGATTCCTCTCAGCCTGGTGTGGTTGTGTAGGCCTCTACTCCCTCCACTGGGGAAGTGGAGGCAGGAAGATGAGTGATTCCAAGCCAGTTTCCGCTGCATAGCGACTTCCACTGTGCTCCATGAGTCCGTCAGGAAGGAAGAAGGGAGGGATGGAGAGCACGAGAGGAGATAAAAAGGTGACGGGGAGGAAACCAAGAGGACACTTGCTTCTATTAGTTATTTAATTATTTAGTACATAGGAATTTGCAAATATTTTATATGTTATGCTGGGTGAATTTTATTCATCGGGTTTCCAACCCCCCTTTCCACTCTCTTCACTCCTAATCTGAGCCAGCATCTAGTGTTCTTTTCTGTCACTCACTTCAGTAGTGAAGCTGTCAGATAGTAAGTCAGGGGCCAGCCTCATCTTCAGGAAGTCCACACGTGCTCCTCCGTAAACATGCATGTCAGCACACAGCTACAGTACCGTCAGAAGTCAGGGTTCCACTGTGACCTAACTTTTAATGAGTCTACAGATACCTTAGGGTTTTTGTTTTGTTTTGTTTTGTTTTGTTTTTTTTTGGTTTTTTTTTTTTTTTTTTTTTTTTTTTTTTT